CAGGAATGCTCTTCAGAGGCATCTGGACAGGTTGGATCAATGGGCTGAGGCCAGTGGTGTGAGGTTCAACATAGCCAAGTGCTGATCCTGCCCTTGGGTCACAGCAACCCCATGGAATGCTCCGGCATTAGGGCAGAGTGTCTGGAAAGCTGGAAAAGGCTCTGGGAGTGCTGTGACAGCTGCTGGACATGAGCCCAGGTGGGAAAGAGGCCAATGGCACCTGGTTTGTACCAGCCTCAGTATGGGCACAGCCCCAGGCAGTGCCTGGCACTGTGCTGGCACTGCTGAGGCACCTCCAGTCCTGAGGCAGTTCTGGGCCCCTCAGGACAAGGACATTGAGGGGCTGGAGAGTGTCTAGGGAAGGAAACGGAACTGGGGAAAGGCTGACGGAGTGGGGGGACCTCAGCCTAGAGAAAAGGAGGCTCGGGGAGACCTTCTGGTTCTCTCCAACTCCCTGACAGGAGATGCAGCCAGGTGGGGGTTCAGGCCCACTGTTCCCCAGGGGGACAGGACAAAGGGAGAATGCCTCAAGCTGTACCAAGGGAGGTTCAGGTTGGACATAAGGAGGAATTACTACTTGGAAAGGGCTGTCAGGCATCTGAACTGCCCAGGGAGGCAGTGGAGTCACCATCTCTGGAGATGTTCAAGGAAGGACTGGACATGGCACTCAGTGCTCTGGTCTAGTTGACAAGGTGGTGATGGGTCACAGGTTGGACTGAATGGTCTTGGAGGTCTTTTGCAACCTCAGTGACTCTGTGATTGTGTAATGTGTGTCTGTCTTTTGTACCTGAAGTAAACCAGAAATGGCACCTGTGGTGCTGTGAGGTGGAGACATCCTGATGTCCTCGAGCTTCCAGGCAACCTTTGTCTTGGCTTTGAAGTCATGCAGTAGAAAGCCTCTGAATGGATTCTCCTTTAACACTTGTCCTACAGCTGGAGGGTTTGTTTTGAGTTAGATGATCTCTGTTTGCAGACATGGCTTGGAACAGGCTCAGTTCCTGCTGTTTGCTCTGACCTCCACCACTGTAGCTCAAAGCCAGCAAAGATTGCAGAATGCAGTATGCAACCCCCCCCAAATGACATAAGGAAATATTAGCCTTGGAATGCTTCATGTTTTCTTAGGGGATGCTGCTGTTTCACAGCAGGTGAAGTGAGTAAATACAGAGTTTTCCTCCTTGGAATTAGAAGAAACTATTCCCAGTGTCATGATCCTCCCCGCGGTGACTGCTGGCAGGTGAGGGTGGGCAAGGAGTGACTTTGGATGCGTGTCTGCCACAGGAGCAACAAATCTATGCTGGTCCCAAGTTGCTCATGGAGGGGTCCTCCTCATCCTCCAAGGGGTGGTTAACCCTGACAGTGAGGTTGGATCTGCATGGTCGTTTCACAGAATCCTGGAATGGTTTGGGTTGGAAGGACCTTAAGGGTTATCCAGTTCTATGTCATGAGCAGGAACGCCTTCCACTAGCCCAGATTGCTCCAGCCTGGTCTTGAACACTTCAGGGATGAGGTGGCCACAGCTTCTCTGAGCAGCCTGTGCCAGTGCCTCATTGTTCTCACAGCCCTTCAGATTGTGGAAGGTTGCTATGAGGTGTCCACACAGCCTTCTCTTCTCCAGGCTGAGCAGCCCCAACTCTTTCATAGGAAGGTGCTCCAGTCCTCTTCTCGGCTTTGTGGTCTCCTCTGGACTTGCTCCTACAGTTCTATGTTGGGGACATGGGAGCTGTACACAGCACTCCAGGTGGGGTCTCTAATTTCCCTTTGTTTTCCATTTTTCACACAAGCTTTCCCTCTCCCCACCCCCAGCTGGACCGTGTGCCTTCCCTGGAGTGCTGCACATGCTGGAATTCCCTGAGACCCTGCCGTGTCCCGGGATGGCAGCGAGGTGACGGCGGCCGAGGATGACCCTGACTGAAAGGCTGCGCGAGAGGACATCGCGGGCGTTCTACAACCACGGGCTGCTCTGTGCCTCTTACCCCATCCCCATCATCCTCTTCACGGCCCTCTGCATCCTGGCCTGCTGGTGAGTCAGTCACACTCAGGGTGCTCTTGGCCATGTTCTGCCCTCTGTGACAGCACAGAAGCTCTTTTTTATCTAAACTCTGTGGATTCATGTCCTCTTTTTGTGGGATGAAAGGAATGACAGTGGTCAAGTGTGACAGGGGTTGAAGTAGTCCCCAGGGGGTGAGGTGTCCTAGGGGTGAAGTGTGACATGGGTGGAAGAAGTTCTGCAGCAGAGTGGCAGGCTAGTGGTTGAACTCAGTGATCTTAGAGGTCTCCTCCAACCTTGATGATTCAAAGTGTGGCAGAGGTGGAAGAAGTGCCTTACAAGAAGTGACGTGTCTCTCAGAGGGTGAGGTGTCACAGAGGCAAAGAATGACTGTGGTGAAGTATCTCCATGTTGTTTAATAAGTAAAAACTAATTGAATAAGTGAAGTAAAGCAATAAATGAGGCAAAAGTAACCCCCAAACACCTGGTGGTGGACTCCAACCCATGAATTAAAAATAGGGAGAAGGAAAGCTGATCTTCCTCTCCACACCTGTCTGTCCTGCTCTCTCTGAAGCTTACACTCCACTGTTTCATCCTTGGCACACGTGGTGGGTGTGTAAATTCCCTGCTCTCCCTATGGACCCTGTCTGGGATGAGTCGCATTGGATCTAATCTTCACTCTCAGAATTGTCACATGGGCTTGGACTCATTTCCAACTGGGCACTGAGGGGTTGAGCAAACCTTTGTGCTCAGCCCTGTGCACACATGTCCTTAGGTTTTTAATTCCAAGTCTCTTGTCTGTTTTCATCAAACCCAATGGGGTAATTTGCTCCTCTGCTTGTGGGAAAGCTCCACTTGTGTTGCCACAGTCGTGGGTTTTCTTGGGGCTCTGCTGATAGCACAGGCTGCTGTTGTGTCACAGCTAAATCATCTTCCAAGGGATTATTTCCGGGTATAGAATACCTCTGTTTTCTGTATGCTTGATGTGATTGCAAGTCACAGTTCTGTCCTTTGGCTTCAGCTTTGCTGGGTGCAGCTTTCCCAGGGTGTTTCCACCTGGAAGGTGCACCCAGCAAAGCCAAACCAGAGTTCCATATGCGTTCTGAGTCACTGTGCCACCTCAGTCCTGCTTGGGAATGGCTTCCCAGAGCTGCCCATGGCCTCAGGCTCCTCTTTTCAGCTTGCAGTGCAGGACAACTGGTGCAGTGTGAAATGTTCACCCACACAGAGGATGTGTTTTGGGAGGGATCAAAACAAACCCCCATGCTTACTCCCTTCCTAAATTCAGGATTTCCCAGACAGGAGGCATCTGATTGGAATGACCAGCAGCTGTCCCTGTCCTTGGGAACCTCCTTTCCACTGGGTCAGGACTTGCCCCTGCCCTGTCTGCAGGACAACTGGTGCAGTGTGAAATGTTCACCCACACAGAGGATGTGTTTTGGGAGGGATCAAAACAAACCCCCATGCTTACTCCCTTCCTAAATTCAGGATTTCCCAGACAGGAGGCATCTGATTGGAATGACCAGCAGCTGTCCCTGTCCTTGGGAACCTCCTTTCCACTGGGTCAGGACTTGCCCCTGCCCTGTCTTTGTGGTCTCTGTTCAGATTGGGGAGCTGAGGTGTTCCCACTTCATCCCTAAGGCTTCAGACCAGATGGGTTTTGGAGTCTGTGGATTTGTGGAAGTATTCGCATTCCTAAGCGCCAACATTTGAGGATTCTGCAGTGGCTGATTACCTCCAGGCTGCAGAAATTTGTCCAAGATACCATCAGGTATGAAGTGGAGTCTGTTCTCTTTAACTAGTTCCAGAAGCTCATTAGCAAAGCAGATAATGACCCTGGGAGAGACAGGGTTTGAAAACACTGTGACACCCCTGGAGGACAGAACCATGGCAAAAGATTCTGTGTGAGGCTGAACTCTGACAGGACATTCCTGCACAGGACACTGGAATATTTATTGAAAGTTGAGTTTTGGGTTGAGTCTTCCTCTTAGTTTGAACCTGAGGTCTGACTTGATCACTGTTGACCTGGATGAGGAGGAGGACTGTGCCCTCAGCAAGTTAACAGGTGATAACAAACTTCACCTTCTCCTAGAGGTTCACTTGTTTCCTATATTAGGAAGTAAGTCTTCCCTATGAGGGTGCTGAGGCACTGGCACAGGTTGGCCAGAGCAGCTGTGGCTGCCCCATCCCTGGAAGTATTCCAGGCAAGGATGAATGGGGCTTGGAGCAACCTGGGCTAGTGGAAGGTGTCCCTTCCTATGGCAGGGGGTGGAACTGGATCCTTCCAACCCAAACCTACCTGGGATTCTGTGTGTCTTCATGGCAGAGGTGGCCCGTGGTATCCTGGGTGGAATTAGGGAGAGCATTGCCAGCAGGTGTAGGAAGGTGATCTGGTGATCCTCCCCTTCCACGCAGCACCTGTGTGGGCTTCCTGTTAAAAGAAGCACATGGAATTAGCTGAGGAAGTCCAGCCAAGGGCCATGGAGATAACGAAGGGACTGGAGGATCTCTCCTGAGAGGAAAGGCTGAGGGAACTGGGACTGGAGGAGAGAAGGCTCAGGGGATCTTATCTCCTTCTGTCAGTCTGAGGCTGTTTGCATCTGTCTGTAGAGGCCTTCATCCACACCCTCCTCCTGATCAGGTGGTCTGTAGCAGACCCCCACTGTAACATCCCCTGCCCCAACCCTACCCTTAATCTTGATGCACAAACTCTCAGCTCTCATCCATCTGTCCCTTAAGATGTGGTTCTGCTCTCAGCCAAGGTGACAACAGTGTACATTAAGGTGTTTGTCCTGCTCTGAAGAAAGGTCAGGTGTGAGGACCAGGTGTGACAGTCACTTCAGAGTCTCTGGAAGGGTTCAGGCACTATTTTTAATGCCACTGACAGACAAGACACAGTCTCTGGTTTTGGTAATAACATCCAAAGCAAAAATTCCTGAGTCATTCCTACTCTGTAACCTGAAAATCCATGTTAGTGTCCCCTTCACAGGGAGTTTGCTGCTGACCCTGCTGGTGACAGGTGCAGGTGTGAGTTAACTCCTCATTTTTCTATAGATCCTTTGTAAGTGACACTCATTTTCCTCATCCCTCTTGAATGGATCCACTTTGGGATCTGCATTCTGTCCCTGGAATGACTCTGTCTGGACACCAGTGGTTCCTCCTGCCCAGCCCAGAGAGGAGCAAGTGATGTGAAATCCTGTGTGACTCTGAAGAACAGTATTTAGTTGAAATAAGAATTGAAAATCAACTGGTGACTGTGCAGGTTTAGGAGAATGAAACAGGTAAATCTCTGCAGGTGTTTATTGACTAAAACATGAGGTTCTGCTCCTAAAGAACTGCAGAACTGGGTGGAACTAGAGCCCCTGGGGGTGTGTATATATATATATATCTGTATCTATCTATAATTCTCCATATGTTTAATCCTGAAAGCACATTTCACCGCCTTCCCGGTCTGTACTCTTTGTGTGGTTACCAGGGGAGCTGAGTTGCCCTTGGACTCTTCACACTCCAGGTCCCCAGAGAGCAGTCTCCCCTGGGATTTGGGATGACCCTGGGAACAAGCTTTGTGTGATGAGGTCTCAGTTCTGCTGCACAGGAAAGAGGAATCTTCCCTTCCTAGCACAGGATTTTGGGGGCACTCTCAGCAAAGCAGCCATCACTTAGTCGGAAACTGGTAGTGTTTGTGCACTTGCTAAGGCTAAAAATGAGTTGTTCCTGCCAGATATTGGCATTCCCAACCCTCTGGCAATAGCCTGTTGCCAGATTCCATCTCGGCAGCAGTGGAATTCCAGGTTGGTGTCTCTGCAAACAGGCCAAGAGCTTGTCCTGCACTGAGCCAAGGGAGGTGGGAG